GTGGAGGGATACATAATATGCAGGGTGCTGTGAGGCAAAATAGTCCCCAAAGAAAACTTATTATTTCAGATTTTCCACTATTTTCCATCATCAACATTCCATATAAACTCAGAAGACTCGTGTAGGTTCACTGGTGGTTCTGGATAGTAAATAAAATGTCTATATCTGTGTTGTAGTCATGGCGACCCCTGGTTCCTATCACCACCACTGTAAAGACATCTGAACCATTTCACACCAAACCTCTCTGAATTATGCAGAAATGCTACAATATGGGGTGAGCTCTGCTTTAAAGGCGAAACAGTGCACGGTGATTATGTTGGTGGTTTTATGATCATGTTATGACATTAAACGTTAAACATTAAACAAACCTTCAGTGAAGCTGCAAAACTAGTTCTTTGTAAGCCTCTGCATGTCTTCATCTGAATATCGACTGCACACACTGCAGGTTTCTTTGTGGAAAGTGAGACGATGTGCAGCTCAGTGCATTCATACGACTGATGAGATCTGCCTTATTAAATAACACACAGTTGAATTAATTCTCCAGTTTTTTCAGCCTGATCTCCATGTGCTGTGTCTGTAGTGTATGGATGATCACCATAGACACTGAATTCAACACTTGCATTTGAAGTTGAGGGGTGAATTTTAACTCTATAAACTTTATTTTTTACCACAAAGTAGAACAACAAATGTCAACAAATACAACTTACATATATTTCTTTACATCTGTAGCACATTTTTGATTATTCTTTGCAATAAAATGTCCACAAAATGAAGAGTTTTGAATGTGTATGAGGTAGTTTTGGTATGATTTGGGTGTTTTTGGTACTGTTTCGTAGTTGCTGAAGAGGTTTGGCAGTTTTTAGTGTGGTTTGGTAGTTCTTGGCATGGTTTGGAGGTTTTTGGTAGAGATTGGTAGTTCTTGGTGTGGTTTGGTAGTTTTTGGTATGACTTGGTAGTTCTAGGTATGGTTTGGGGGTTCTTGGCATGGTTTGGGGGGTTTTTGGTAGAGATTGGTAGTTCTTGGTATGGTGGGTAATGATTGGTGTGGTTTGGTACTTTTTGGTATGGTTTCGTAGTCCAAGGTGTTGGTTGGTGGTTCCTGGTATGGTTTGGCAGTTCTTGGTGTGATTTGGTAGTTCTTGATATGGTTTGGTAGTTCTTGGTGTGATTTGGTAGTTCTTGTTGTGGTTTGGTAGTTCTTGGTGTGGTTTGGCAGTTCTTGATATGGTTTGGAGGTTTTTGGTAGAGATTGATAGTCCTTGGTATGACTTGGTAGTTCTAGGTATGGGTTGGTGGTTTTTGGTATGGTTTGGTAGTTCTTGGTGTGGTTTGGTAGTTCTAAGTATGGGTTGGTGGTTTTTGGTATGGTTTGGTGGTTCTTGGTGTGGTTTGGTAGTTCTAAGTATGGGTTGGTGGTTTTTGGTATGGTTTGGTAGTTCTCGGTGTGGTTTGGTAGTTCTAAGTATGGGTTGGTGGTTTTTGGTATGGTTTGGTAGTTCTTGGTATGGTTTGGTAGTTCTTGGTGTGGTTTGGTAGTTCTTGGTGTGGTTTGGTAGTTCTAAGTATGGGTTGGTGGTTTTTGGTATGGTTTGGTAGTTCTTGGTGTGGTTTGGTAGTTCTAAGTGTGGTTTGGTAGTTCTAAGTATGGGTTGGTGGTTTTTGGTATGGTTTGGTAGTTCTTGGTGTGGTTTGGTAGTTCTTGGTATGGGTTGGTGGTTTTTGGTATGGTTTGGTGGTTCTTGGTGTGGTTTGGTAGTTCTAAGTATGGGTTGGTGGTTTTTGGTATGGTTTGGTAGTTCTCGGTGTGGTTTGGTAGTTCTAAGTATGGGTTGGTGGTTTTTGGTATGGTTTGGTAGTTCTTGGTATGGTTTGGTAGTTCTTGGTGTGGTTTGGTAGTTCTAAGTGTGGTTTGGTAGTTCTAAGTATGGGTTGGTGGTTTTTGGTATGGTTTGGTAGTTCTCGGTGTGGTTTGGTAGTTCTAAGTGTGGTTTGGTAGTTCTAAGTATGGGTTGGTGGTTTTTGGTATGGTTTGGTAGTTCTTGGTGTGGTTTGGTAGTTCTAAGTATGGGTTGGTGGTTTTTGGTATGGTTTGGTAGTTCTTGGTGTTGGCATATCTCCCTTGCACTGCTACACAAGTTTTAAAGCCAGACATATCAGGACTGATTACAACATGCATAACGTTACTCATTAGATTTGCTGGTAAATTGACGTATTTTGTAGATTGTAGCCGGCCTGTTTTTCAGACACTTAAATCGACCAAGTTGTTTGACAGTTGCGATATATGGAAACTATCTGTGATTGACTATATAATTAGTGATCAGCTCAAACGTATCTGTAAGAAAGGAAAGATGTGTGTTTGTGTGAGGCTCCTCTGATCTGCTCTCAGATGAGGAGGAAGCTGCAGAAGCTTTTATTGCTGAAGTTGTGGATGGTTTGAATAAACTGACAGGATGTTTTCTCACATTCCATCAGCAGCTCTGTGATCACGGCTCCTCGGTCTCTCTATCTCGCTCCTTCGTTTCTGAGGACTCGCACATGCACCACAGTCTTTATTTAGAACAGCTGTGTGTTATCCAGGCCAGTTCCACCAGACTCTGTTACAGCTTCTTATTATAATGATGTACTATAATATGCATCCTGGCCACTTTATTAGAAACCCTTGCTGGTGTAGAGTTAGAGACTGTAGCTTGTGTGTTCTGTAGCTTGTGTGTTTGCTATGCAGCAACTAATTATAGAATCTCAAATTTCACAACTTGGGTGGTGGATCATTCTCAGCCCTGCAGTAACACTGACATGGTGGTGGTGTGTTAGTGTGTGTTGTGCTGGTCTGAGTGGATCAGACACAGCAGTGCTGCTGGAGTTTTTAAACACCTCAGTGTCACTGCTGGACTGAGAATAGTCCACCAACCAAAAATATCCAGCCAACAGCGTCCTGTGGGCAGCGTCGTGTGACCACTGATGAAGGACTAGAGGATGACCAGCACAAACTGTGCAGCAGCAGATGAGCTGTCGTCTCTGACTTTACATCTACAAGGTGGACTGACAAGGTAGGAGTGTCTAATAGAGTGGACAGTGAGTGGACACAGTGTTTAACAACTCCAGCAGCACTGCTGTCTGATCCACTCAGACCAGCACAACACACACTAACACACCACCACCACATCAGTGTTACTGCAGTGCTGAGAATGACCCACCACCCAAATAGTACCTGCTCTGTGAGGGTCCATGGGGGGTCCTGACCACTAAAGAACAGGGTAAAAGGGGGCTAACAAAGTATCAGAGAAACAGATGGACTACAGTCTGTAATTGTAGAACTACAAAGTGCACCTATATAGTAAGTGGAGCTGATAAAATGGACAATGAGTGTAGAAACAAGGAGGTGGTCAGAATGTTATGCCTGATCAGTGTATAAATATATATAGTTTTTAAGATAATATTACAGTGACTGGAACTGACCTGTTGTGAAATTTGAGATTCTATAATCAGTCGTTGCATAAAGAATCATTTTGGAATTGTTTTGAGGTCAGTTACATGACAGGAGGGTATGGCTGTGTAATGATGGCTGTGTCTTTTAAATGCAAACAAATTTAGAGCCAAATTAAACACTTTTAATGCCTACAATTATACACACAGATTACAAGCCAGTAAAAATACAGAATGTTAGCAAATGAGCTCAGCTAATTAACATCATGGTCAACTATTATGATTACTGTTATTGTTGTTGTTGTTATGGGAATGGAAGCCAGGAACAGTAGTTATGATTTAAATATGATTATTACTAGACGTAATGATGAAGTTCTCCTGACTCTCCGGTGCGTGCCGGCTCAGAAGGCTCCGGCTCCTGGAATGTTCTGTGGCGGCGGTTCTGTCTCCGAGCGCTCCAACCTGTAATCTGTCTGAGGTTTTTCGCTCCGCAGAGCCGAGGCAGCGTAACACCTAAATAGCAAAAGCACTTTAGCCTCAGGATTCTTCCCCCGCTGCGGTCGGCTGGAGAACGAGGCAGGAAAACACGGCTGAACCCTGCACGACTCCAAAAAAACACAGCGGCCCTCTCAGAGGCATGTGGAAAATGCATCGGCTCTGGAGGAGCAACTGCTGCGCGCTAAAACCTGAGAGAACTTCAGGGACGGGACCGGAGAGAAACAGGAGCCGAAGACCACAAAAGAATGTTCAGGTTCTGCGGTGGACGCTCGGATTTGTTCACTGCAGAGCAAATGTTTGGCAGCAACACTAACTTTGCAAAAGTGAACATAGAAAAATTAAACAAATTACAAAACCAGTATTGAGGAATTACAATGTATCAAATACACTTTATGTAACGTTGTTGTCACAAGAAAACCTTGTATCTCCATTTTTTACGTTTTTCAGTTTTTGACATAATTTGAAAATACCTGTTGTCCTTTACATTGTGTGTAAATTTCATGATAAATGGACTAAAAGAAACGGCCCAAAATGACTTGGAAAAAAGTCTGGTTCCATTGACTTACATTAAAAGAAAAGCATGTTTTTTCCTTCTCCTGTTAAGTTACCATTTTGGAGATAGGAGGTTTTCTTCCGACAGCAGCGATACGTTTCTTTTTGGTACGTTTAGCTACAAAAGTATGTATGACCCACTAATTGTGGATGGGCAACATCAGTAACTTCCTTTACTATCTTATATCAAGTAATACAAAGCATAATATCCAAATACCGATACTGATATTGATATATTTAAAAATTCTTTTTTTAATCTACAGTGAAAAACTGTAAAAATACAGATGTTAGCAATAACAATTGATATCCTTTCTATTAAATAAACTACAACATAAACTGACTGTTTAGGGAAATAACGCTCCCACGATTTATGTGTTTATTTTATATCATTTTATATCAGGCCTAATCATTCTTTTTTTTTCTCTCAATTGTTTGTAATATTTGTCTTAGTTTATTTTACAAAATAAAAGCCTGTGTGCATTTTTTAACTTTTTCTCTCTCTCTCTCTCTCTCTCTCTCTCTCTCAGGTCCTGTCTCTGATCGGCTTTATCTGTATCGAGACGGTGATGATGTGTTCTCCGTGTGCGGGAGTTTACCTGTTTGAGTTTGTGAGCTGCAGTGCCTTCGTCGTTACGGGAGTTTTACTCCTCATCTTCAGCCTAAACCTGCACACCAAAGTGCCGCAGGTCAACTGGAGTCTAACGGTATGTACAATGTATAGATACACCAACCCTAACCCTAACCGAGTTCAACAGATAAAACATTATAGAGCACTTTTTAAATGAAACAGTAGAAGCCATATCGCCCCCTACACTTCCTGTAGTGTATTACAGTCTGTCAGAGTGACTGTGTGGATCATATGAACATTATAGAGGCTTTTTAAATGAAACAGTAGAAGCCATATCGCCCCCTACACTTCCTGTAGTGTATTACAGTCTGTCAGAATGACTGTGTGGATCATATGAACATTATAGAGCAGTAGAAGCCAAAAAAAGATGGTTCTTCAAGGGTTCTTTAGTAAAGACAGTGGTTCTATATAGAACCATTAGCACTCAAAGAACCATTTGCATGCTTAAAGGGTTCTTTGCATCATTAAATTCTTTAAGTGGCGTTGAATGTGGTTCTACATAGAACCTTTTTGAACAGGGTTCTGTATAGCCTCAGAAAGGGTTCTGCTGTTGTTATGTTGTCAAGCTTGTATACAATAGAACAATCCTTTTAGGTGTTATATAGAACCCCTTTTCAAAAAAGTTCTGTATAGAACCACATACAACACCTGAAGTACCATTTAATGATGTGAAGAACGCTTTAAGCATGCAAGTGGTTCTTTGAGTGTTCATGGTTCTATATAGAACCGTTGTCTTTACTGAAGAACGCTTGAAGATGCAAAATAGTCCCCAAAGAAAACTTATTATTTCAGATTTTCCACTATTTTCCATCATCAACATTCCATATAAAACTCAGACTCGTGTAGGTTCACTGGTGGTTCTGGATAGTAGATAAAGTGCTATATTTGTGTTGTAGTCATGGCGACCCCTGGTTCCTATCACCACCACTGTAAAGACATCTGAACCATTTCACACCAAACCACTCTGAATCACTCTGTTTACATCTCACACACTGAATTATGGAGGAATTTTGACAAATGAGTGACAACGACACTCTAGAAAACATGAAGAGACCTCAGTGCTGCTGGGTTTTGCTGCAGAACCATTTGTAACTGGTTGTAGATGGAAAAGCTTGATCTGTATTGTGAGAGCTCTGCATACCAACCAGAGCAGAGAGCTGGTGGGAGCAGGGCAGTTCCAGTCCAACCATAACTATCACACTGCAGTTTATACAACACAGGAACGCATGCTTAACCCTAAACATGCAGCCAGTCTGCTCCTGTTCAGCCTGTTTTCACAGAACTGTGCCCTGTTTTTAGGGAACAGGGTTTTATTTGACCGTCACTGGCTGCACAAAGACTGTTCACCTCTGACAATCACATTTATACTGACATCAGTGTATTAATAACATAATTAGGGCTGCACGATATTAACAAACTATCAGTCTCTCAATTACAGTGCTTTATATTAGGGCTGTCAGATGGGGTCGGTAATTAAATTTCGATTATCCTCTTGTTTATTTGTATGCATTTTTTTAGTAAGTGGATAATTAATGGCAGCAAGCGGCAGATATCCAAGTCACTGTTATGCCTTCTACATCCACAAGGGGGCGCATGTCATGGGCTGGAGGTTAGGGAACCAGCCTTGTGACCGGAAGGTCGCCCGGTTAGATCCCCTGAGCTGACAGTACATGACTGAGGTGCCCTTGAGCAAGACACCTAACCCCCAACTGCTCCCCAGTCGCCGTGAATGGGGCTGCCCACCACTCCGGGCAAGTGTGCTCACTGCCCCCTAGTGTGTGTGTTCATTATGTGGTATGTGGTGTTTCACTGCACGAAGGTGAAATTTCCCCATTGTGGGACTAATAAGGGTCACTTAGTATTAATCTTAATACATTATCAAGCGATTCCAGAAGCACACAGTGTTAAAAACCAGTGATTTTCAGCCTAGAATTTAAGAATAAATTCTCCACACTGCTGATCTCCCACTGTTATTATAAGCTAAAGAGAGCGACTTAGCTGAATGTCGGTCTGTCATAATTATTACATAATCGCCTAATTGCAGTTATTCGAGATGACCGCAATTATTTAAGCTGTGATCATTTTCCACATTTTGATTTCACAACGAAGTTAGAAACACAGTGTGAACTGATTGTTCTGGGTTGAGGTAAATAACTCCACCAGCTTCATCTAATCCCACCAGCTTGTGTAGTTGTGTAGACCTTTTCACCAGCTCCTCGATTCCAACCAGATCCTCAGTCCTTACTAGCTCCTCGAATCTCACCAACTCCTCAAACCTCACCAGCTCCTCAAACCCTTCCTGCTCTTAAAACCCCACCAGTTTCTCAAACCTCACCAGCTCCTCAAACCCTTCCTGCTCTTAAAACCCCACCAGTTTCTCAAACCTCACCAGCTCCTCAAACCCTTCCTGCTCTTAAAACCCCACCAACTTCTCAAACCTCACCAGCTCCTCGATTCCTACCAGATCCTCAGTCCTTACTAGCTCCTCGAATCTCACCAACTCCTCAAACCTCACCAGCTCCTCAAACCCTTCCTGCTCTTAAAACCCCACCAGTTTCTCAAACCTCACCAGCTCCTCAAACCCTTCCTGCTCTTAAAACCCCACCAGTTTCTCAAACCTCACCAGCTCCTCAAACCCTTCCTGCTCTTAAAACCCCACCAACTTCTCAAACCTCACCAGCTCCTCAAACCTCACCAGCTCCTCAAACCCTACCTGTTCTTAAAACCCCACCAGCTTCTCAAACCATACCAGCTCCTCAGCTCACCAGCTCCTTAAACCCTACCAGCTCTTAAAACCTCACCAGCTCCTCAAACCCTACCTGTTCTTAAAACCCCACCAGCTTCTCAAACCATACCAGCTCCTCAAACCTCACCAGCTCCTTAAACCCTACCAGCTCTTAAAACCTCACCAGCTTCTCAAACCTCACCAGCTCCTCAAACCCTACCAGCTCTTAAAACCTCACCAGCTCCTCAAACCTCACCAGCTCCTCAAACCCTACCTGTTCTTAAAAGCCCACCAGCTTCTCAAACCATACCAGCTCCTCAAACCTCACCAGCTCCTCAAACCTCACCAGCTCCTCAAATCCTACCAGCTCTTAAAACCTCACCAGCTCCTCAAACCTCACCAGCTCCTCAAATCCTACCAGCTCTTAAAACCTCACCAGCTTCTCAAACCATACCAGCTCCTCAAACCTCACCAGCTCCTTAAACCCTACCAGCTCTTAAAACCTCACCAGCTTCTCAAACCTCATCAGCTCCTCAAACCTCACCAGCTCCTTAAACCCTACCAGCTCTTAAAACCTCACCAGCTTCTCAAACCTCATCAGCTCCTCAAACCTCACTAGCTCCTCAGGTCACCAACTCCTCAAACAGACCAGCTCCTCAATTCCCACCAGTTCCTCAAACATCACCAGCTCCTCAAAGCTCACCAGCTCCTCAAACCTCACCGTCTCCTCAAACCCTAACAGCTCCTCAAACCCCTGCCAGGCCGGCTGGGGGGTTTTGTGTGACTCAGCAGTGAGGGTAAACTGTCGTGCCTTTTTTGAAGCTTTGATGCCAGAATTCCCCTCGTAGAGCTGTGTGTTGTAATTGTGGCCGGCGTCCCAGAGGAGGGTTTGTTTTTCCAGTTAGCGAATGAGCTTTCAGAAGAAACCCTCTCCAACTCCGCTCTGATGGTATCTCTGGCAGGCCCGAGCGGAAACACTTATTTTCCTTACAGAGGCAGTTTAGGAGATCCAAAATCCAGAGTCGAGTCCAACTCAGGGACTTAGCTGGGGGTCCGGGTGGGGGGCAGGGGGGCTTATTCCTGATTGTTTAAAAAAAGTTCCAGTGAATATGGAAAAAAAAAAGATGAACATATTAACATATGTATGGTTGTCGTGGGCCAAAGCGCTGAGTTTCTGCATCCTCGTGACTTTTTTCCACCCTAAATAAATAAAACAGGCAGGCCGAGCTCTCCTTAGACCATCACAGGTTATTGGTGGATGCTGTCACCATGGAAACACGGCTGCATGACCCTGTCTGTCGTGCAAAGACACTTTTTTCAATGGCAAAATGTGAACACAGCTTTAGCACGAGTAGCTAATTGGTAAAAAAGCAAAGTTCAATTTTCAATATATAGTCTATTGTGTCAGTTATTGAGATTAAGAAAAAAAATGTACCTAAAAATGTTAATGGGTCAATAATTTTTTAATGATTTAGCTGAAATTAATTAGACTAATTTTGTCAGGGAACATTTGGTCTCTCTCTCTGTTCTGTCTCTCTCTCTCTCTCTCTCTCTCTCTCTCTCTCTGTAATCAAATCTCATATGCTTTATTGGTATGACAGGATATGAGACCTATGTTACCAAAACTGTACAATACATGTTAAACCGAGTTATAATAAATATATAAGTGAAGAAATTCTTTCGCAAGTTCATAAAGATAAATAATTAAAACAAAGCTATAAAGATTAAGTATATGTATGATTATATATAAACGTAAAATGAGTATGGACATTATAATAATAATAATAATAATAATAATATAATAGTAATAAAATAAAAAAAAATAAAGTAAACAATAAGGTAAACTTAAAAAATTACGAAGCACATCTGAGCATCAGGAATCAGAAACACAGATTCCGTAACTGCAGATATGCTGTGTTACATGTTTTATTTTCGATCTTATGGCGGTTTTGAATAAACTGTCCTGCTAAATCTGTTGTCTCTACAGTAATACCTTAATTTTCAGTACCGGTCAGTGAGGAGAAGGTGGGGATTCTTTCTCAGACCCTTTTTATACCGGCTCACTTCATGTCTGGTATCTGGAGTGTATCCTGATAAGATTTTAGCCTCATGTATTTATACTTGGTGGTCAAATGCGTCTCCGGTTAGTCAGACTGAAATCAGATTGCTGTGGGACAGAAAATCAGCTCAATACGCAGCAACCAATTACCAACTGTTTATCTGTTCAGCCTCTTTGTCTGCAGTGTGTTCTGTACAGTCGTGTCTGTCCATGTTGCTGTTATGCATTTCTTTTCGCCCCCAACCAGGAGGGTCCTCCATGATTATCTCCCTCACAGACACGGATCACGAGCCCAGTGACAACCTGCATCGGGAGGGGTTTTGGTTGTACTGGAGGAGATTCAGTTGTACTGGGAGGGGTTTCAGTTGTACTGGGAGGGGTTTCGGTTGTACTGGGAGGAGTTATGGTTGTACTGGAGAAGTTTCGGTTGTACTGGGAAGAGTTTTTTTTGTACTGGTAGGAGTTTCGGTTGTACTGGGAGGGGTTTAGGTTGTACTGGGAGGAGTTTCAGTTGTGCCGAGAGGGGTTTCGTTTGTACTGGGAGGAGTTTCAGTTGTACTGGGAGGGGTTTCGTTTGTACTGGGAGGAGTTTCAGTTGTACTGGGAGGAGTTTCGGTTGTATTGGGAGGGGTTTCGGTTGTACTGGGAGGGGGTTTGGTTGTACTGGGAGGGGTTTTGGTTGTACTGGGAGGAGCCTCATCCAGATATAATCTTAATACTGAAGAGATGAATTGAACAGGTGCAAACAGGGTCTCAGTTTCTGTCTCTCTTGATGGACAGTTGGTGCAGATCCTGTCCTCTCTGTCCATCCTGCTTCTCTGTGACTTCCTATTTTAATGGCCAGTTTATGGTCACTCATTCTGAATGTTGTTAGCATTTGCCTTTGTTTGTCATCTTTACTTTTAATCTGATAATTATTAAATATTTCAGAACATTTGGGTTAATTTTGGTGTGTAATTTGTTTTTTCCAGAAATCTGAAGCTGTAATCTGTTTTGTTATTGTCTTTATTCTCTCTCAGTGTGGAGCGCCGAGCTGTTGAGCTCCCCTCTGAGTTCTTGTTCGTGGCTGGTTTAGTGGGTGGTTTGAGTTTGTTTTGTTACTGATGAAGACTCTGTAGTGAAGGAGTCTGGATCTGACTGGTTCAGGTGGTACCAGAATTTACAGCATCTCCCAGATTTCAGTGCCACATAACATCTCTCTCTCTCTCTCTCTCTCTCTCTCTCTCTCTCTCTCTCTCTCTCTCTGTGGTACCAGGCTGTGACTGTCTCTCTGTTCTAGAAAGAATGAGGACAGAAAACAGTGCACTGTCCCTTCTGTTGTCCTTCATCACAAACAAAGACAAATGAAAACACACACACACACACACACACACACACACACACACACACACACACACACACACTGTAGCTGCTTAAAATGCAGTGTTTACAGCCGTCTAAGTTCTGGCCTTATCTAGTTTTTTAGCCTTATCTACTTATTTAGTTTTTCTGAGATTTTATAAGTTGGAACAGACAAAATAGAATCTGCAATGTTAGATATAAAAATACTAAAATAATAATACATTACAGTGATTTTTATTTAATGTTATACAGACTGAACTAAGTACAGTTAAACAGGCCTAATTCTGCTCACTCTGTACTGAAACATGTAGTTAGTCGGTGTCCTTTAAGAAGAAAAGTGTACTGTGACATCATTTATCACACTAATGATAAAATATTGTTATATTGCCCACTCCTAGTTTGATCCACTGTAAAAAGAAAAAAGAGAGTGAGAGTGCAAGGAAAAGAAAAATTGGGTCAACTTTAAATTTTACTTACTTCACAGCTTTTCTGAGTTAACATGAGGTTATAGGGGTTCACCAGCGCCCTCCAGCTGAGTTAACTCAAAAAGCTGTCTTAAAAAGTTTGATGTTATTCAGTGATGTTTGCTGCTGGCTGTGAATTCCCAGTTAAAGACACAGTGCGTTTATATAAGACATTAAGACAGATGTGTAGGGTAAACCGAACGTCAGCTAATGAAACGTTTTTACTTGTTTTTGATTGTTTTGGAGTAAAGGTGGTTTGGTCCCATCTCTGTCATTTATATTGAGACTTCTTATCCTGTGTGAACCAGTCAAAGAAGTAGTGTCAGATTATATTAATCCTGTGCTGTAAACTAAATCTAAAAATAAACTCAGATTATATTAATCCTGTGCTATAAACTAAATCTAAAAATAAACTCAGATTATATTAATCCTGTGCTATAAACTAAATCTAAAAATAAACTCAGATTATATTAATCCTGTGCTGTAAAATGAATTCTAAAAATACTTTCAGATCATATTAATTTTGTGCTATAAAATGAACTCTAGAAATATTCCCAGGTTATATTAATCCTGTGCTATAAAACAAACTCTTGAAATAATCCCAGATTATATTAATTCTGTGCTATAAAACAAACTCTAGAAGTAATCTCAGATCATATTAATTCTGTGCAATAAAATGAACTCTAGAAATAATCTCTGATTATATCAATCTTGTGCTATAAAACCAAATCTAGAAATAAACTCAGATTATATTAATCCTGTGCTATAAACTAAATCTAAAAATAAACTCAGATTATATTAATCATGTGCTGTAAAATGAATTCTAAAAATACTTTCAGATTATATTAATTTTGTGCTATAAAATGAACTCTAGAAATATTCCCAGGTTATAGTGATTATGTGCTATAAAACCAACTCTAGAAATAATCCCAGATTATATTAATTCGCTATAAAACAAACTCTAGAAGTAATCTCAGACTATATTAATCCTGTGTGAATTTATCGTTGATAAAAACACTAGGAAAAGGAGTTTCTTCGGTGTTGAAGCACTATTTAAAGTTTGTATTCTCTAAAATTAAGCTAAAATCAAGCTGATTTGTACTGTCCTACCTCACTTGTTTTAACTGATGATCAAAAAACATCATGATTTTTGTCTGACAGCATAATTATGGTAAAAATCATGGTAAGAAATCATCCTAGCCCAGAGCACACGGCGTGGTAGAGATTCAGCCTGCCAAGTCTGACCCAGTAAAACTCGTGGCTCATGCTAACTCTGTTTTACCACCCAGGCTGAAGAAGAGCTGGAACATTTATCCTTCACTCTCCCCCTGCTCTCTGTTGGAAAGAGGCTTTTTCTCCTTATATTCCACATTCTCTGGCTCCGTGGGTTTCCTGTTGCTCAGCAGAAAACACTGGCTTCAGAAATTCCACAGCTCATAAACACGCTCTCCAAAAACTCCACCTGAGGCTCCCTGAGCTTCTCTCCGAAACCAGCACAGCTGCTGCGGTTTTCACTTCACTGCTTCTGAATCAGAGATTATTCAGCTAATCTGATTAACTGTCAACATAACTGTGGACAAAAGTCGACGCAGAGTTTGTATAAAAACAAAAGCCTCTATAATGTTCATATGATCCACACAGTCACTCTGACAGACTGTAATACACTACAGGAAGTGTAGGGGGCGATATGGCTTCTACTGTTTCATTTAAAAAGCCTCTATAATGTTCATATGATCCACACAGTCACTCTGACAGACTGTAATACACTACAGGAAGTGTAGGGGGCGATATGGCTTCTACTGTTTCATTTAAAAAGCCTCTATAATGTTCATATGATCCACACAGTCACTCTGACAGACTGTAATACACTACAGGAAGTGTAGGGGTAATAAAGATAGATGGAGAGATAAAAAAGGAAAGAAAAAAGAGACGGAGGAGGAGAAAGAGAGAAAAAATAAAGTGACGGAGAGAAAGAAAAGGTGAGATATAGATGAAGAAAAAAGAAAGATAAAAGAACAGAGAGAGAAAAAGAGTGATGGAAATGAGTGAAAGAGAAAGAGAACAAGAGGAGGAACATTAAAAAGAGAGAGAAATGGATAGGGACAAAAGAGACAGACAGAATAAAAGACTAAAAGAGACCAAGAAGAGAAAGAGAGAGACACAGAGCAGGAGAGATGGAGAGAGAAAAGTGAAAGGGAGGGAAAGAGGGAGAGAGTCATGTGGTAAATGACTGTGGTCATGTATTCAGTCATGTGAGTGACCGTGTCTCAGTCACACTGCAGTGACCGTTCAGCTGAACTGTTGTGTCCTCAGTGCAACAGACTGTGATTATACGTCTGTCTGCTGTTACTGTAAAGCACTTTACACAAAATATGCACATTATATAATAAATAAACAGAGTATAATATTTATTCAAATATTATCTCTTTATTTGTTTATTTATTGATTTATTTATTTATTTATTTTCAATGTAAATTAATGGGAATATGTTTTATTTGAAGCAATTTTGGAGCATTTCTATTGGTACAATCATCCTGAAAGTTCCACACAATGTTAAAGACGACTGTGGAGCTCAAATTATGCAGAAAACTAAAAAAACAAACGTTTTTTTTTTTTGGTATATAAATATATATGCTGCTGTTGTCACAAGAAAACCTCATATCCATTTTTGACATTTTCAGTTTTTGACATAATTTAAAAATACATGTTACCCTTTACGTTGTATGTTAATGTCATGATGAATGGACTAAAAGACACGACCCAAAATGACTTGGAAAAATGTCTGGTTCCATTGACTTGCATGAAAAGTAAAGTATGTTTTTTCCTTCTCCTGTAAAGTTACCATTTTGGAGATAGGAGGTTTTCTTCCCACAACAGCGATATAGCCATATGATTTAATATAACTGATTTAAGTTTATATTCTTTATTTAAATGTGTGCCCTGAGTGTGTATATTGGTGTTTTGGTGCCCCCTGCCTGCAGCCTATAGGCACTGCACTTATTACTGTCTTCAGCCGCAGCTCACATTTCACCTTCAAATCTCACATTTATTACTCCACTATTCCACTAATTTTTATTGAAGTATTATGTATGTTTAGATTTTTACATTTGTATTAGTACTTTTTTGTCTGGCTTTAAATGCTTTTGAAATAACTCCAAGCAACTCTTTGTAGTCTTGGAAACCGACTTTAAGCACTTAAGCCTGAGACCTTATATCAGAATCAGTCAGGTGGGTCTGAACTTAGACTCCAGTTGAGATAATGATATATCAGTGTGTCTGAGTTCATCATATCAGTGTGTCTGAGTTCATCATGTGTGTTTGTTTGTGTATGCAGGACCTGATAAATACTGCCTCCAGCACTGTGTTCTTCTTCCTGGCCTCGGTGGTTCTGGCAGCTCTAAACCACCAGAGTGGAGCCGAGATCGCCGCTGTGGTAAATAAGCTTTTACTAACCCTGATACTCAGTACAGACACACACAAACAGTCAGACTGCAGCCGTTACAGTGCTGTTAGGATCTCGACCCAGTGCAGTTATAATGTGGCACTGTTCTGACAGTGCAGTGCTGCCCCTGTGTGGCCACTTTGTGACACTGCATCAGTTTCAGTGTAGCTGTAAGTTTGTGCCTGTTAAGATCTTCTGCCAGCTAAACAATTAGGTAGCCAACAGAGTCAGTTTAAGTGGAGTCCGGCCTCTTCCTATTTCCCCTGTTATATCAAAAACATGACAGCAGAACGCCAGAGCAGGTCCTCAAAGAATGGGTGAATAGAACTACACAACTAAAAACGAAAAGTTAAAATAGTTTCTAATCACTTCCCCAGAACGGTCCTTTCATTTTAGAAAGTAGAAGGATGTATTTCACTAAAAAAGCAGAGAAAACTCACCTGTATGTTTCCTTTTTTCTACAACAAACGGGTTTTGGGCAGCAGGACACTAACATTACTGCTACTGAGTGCTGATTGGTTGGCGAGCAGAGCAGCTCATTGGTTGTTCACGCTCACAGATGTCATGAATGTACACGAGGCACCGTTTTAAACTCCTATAACTCGAGTTTAAAAGCTCTTAAAAAATATAACAGCAGTGTTAAAATGTTTTATGCTGTTCAGTGTTCAGGAAATTATTGTGTTCTTTTATATTACAATGCTGAAGCATTTATAAACTATGTTTTTATTCAAACCCTTATTAACCCATTCGTTTTGGACCCGGGAGCGCCCTCTAGTGTTTGAGAAACCCGGAAAATACTACAGAGTAGCAGTTCTCTTCTCTGTAAGTTCTCTTTTAGCTGTGTGATCAACCTTCACTACATATCTGGGTCATTCTAATTTTAGTCCCAAATCTGTTCATTTTTGTTTAAGTGTAGTATTAATTTCATCACAGTTTACAAGCCAAGTTAAGAATATTGAACAAGTTAGCTGCCTTGGCTTCGCTCACTAGCTAATAACTTCAGCTATGAAACAAATAGTTTAGCTAACTCTAAGTCTACTAGAGAGCTTATTCCTCAGCTGAGACACAATTCAGTTCAGTTAAACTTTCAATTTTATTGCCAGTGTAACAATATAACAGTACAGCATAGCGAAATACTGGCTAGTAGAGGTCTGCACTCCTGCGGATTCCCTCGGGACCCGCTACAATATCTTGCGGCGCGGGACTAATTTTCTGTGTTGTGCGCTGGAGCTAGCAGGTAACCAGCTCTCTGCAGGTGGGAGCGGGACGAAGCACACATGAGGAGAAATCCAGCAAATCAATGAACAGCCTAAATAAAGTAGAACAATCACTAAAATCTTATATAAACAATATAAATCATAACAGTAAAACAGTTAAAATGAATGACGTCATTCTAAAGAGCTGTGAAGCAGCCGATCACATGAACAACACACAGATTCTTGTAGCTCACAGAGACGGAGCCTTCAGTCTGACGGCCACAGCTGCCCAGCAAAACACCAAAAATAACCGCTCTGTGGTTTAATTCCTGCTCTGTGTTTAAATGGTGAATAAATGGTGTTTGGTGAAGTTACTCACAGTGAGCCTGATGACCACGACTGACCTGTTATTTCAGCAGAGAATAATGAGTTTGTGAACAGACTGTGTCAGATATTGGATGTCAGGTCGCCTTGACGGAACTGCAGGCGGTTGACAGGAAACACACTGAAACTGAATAATTTATTGATACTGAATTATTCATAGTGGATACTGAATAATCAATAGTGGATACTCAGTAATTCATAGTAGATACTGAATAATTCATAGTAGATCCTGAATAATTCGTAGTGGATACTGAATAATTCACAGTGGATACTGAATATTTCATAGTAGATACTGAATAATTCATAGCAGAAACTGAATAATTCACAGTGGATACTGAATAATTCACAGTGGATACTGATTAATTCATAGTAGATCCTGAATAATTCGTAGTGGATACTGAATAATTCACAGTGGATACTGAATATTTCATAGTAGATTCTGAATAATTTATAGTAGATACTAAATAATTTATAGTGGATACTGACGAATTCAGTTTTCTAATTGCTTTGACAGGAAACACATTGAAATATGCCATTTGTGTACAGATGATTCTACTGAACTGGTTCAGAGTCAGAGCTGAAACACATTTGGGACTTTTATCTGATTTTGGACTTTAGACTAAAATCCTTTTGCTCTGAGTGACTCTAAACCATAACTATGATTATTCTATTAAAACTAATGATTAAACATTTCATTTTATCACTACCAAAACAATCATAACACCAAACTTTACTAAGTGTTTCAGTAGTGACTGTTTCAGTAGTGACTGTTTCGGTAGTGACAATTTTAGCTTATTTTGAGCTCAAAAATGCAGCCAGTACATGACCAGCAAACACAGCTTTGAACAGCTGTTCACACATAAAATCATCATATTTTACATTAAAACATTAAAAAGGGTTTTTTTTTAATAGTTTTTACTGTGGGATCACAGTCTGAGCTCATCCAGTAGAAGGCGAGGGTGTGAGTGGACGGGTTTCTGGATATTGTCTCTGCTGTGTTAATGTTTATATGGTCATTCACACTGTTACAGAAACTATCCTACAAACTCAGCAGCCACCACTCACTGCAGCTGTGCATGGTCCCAGTGGAGGCTTTTGGAGGCGGGGGGGGTTGCTGTGTTGGAGCAGACTGCAGGCCGCCCACCACTGTGTGTGTGTGTGTGTGTGTGTGTGTGTGTGTGTATGTGAGTGTGTGTGTGTGTTTGTGTGTATATGAATGTGTGGCTGTGCACAGAGACAGACTGAGTCAGGGTTATGGTCGGGGTGGGGATGGGGGGGGGGTGTCTTCTAGCGGTTTATGGTCCACATGTGCTTAGCAGGAACTTCCCCCATAAACATCCACAGCGTTCTCACTGCCTGACTGGGGGGAGGGGGGACCTTGGGAACCCTCACAATCCATAGTAGATACTGAATAATTTATAGATACTGAAAAGTTTATAGTAGATACTGAAAAATTCATAGTATATACTGAATAATTTGTAGTGAATACTGAATATTTCATAGTAGATACTGAAAAGCTTGTAGTAGATACTGAATAATTCATAGTGGATACTCAGTAATTTATAGTAGTTACTGACTGTTTCATTGTAGATACGTAGTAGATGCTGAATAATTCATAGCTTTGGGGTGGGGGGGGGGCAGCTAGCAGGAGGCATATAAATATTTTCCCCAGTATCGTAATAGCACCAAAATAAAATCATGGTGAATCATTTCTGTAGGAATCCAACAGAATTATTTTGATATCAGAGATTCAGACTGATAGTCAATACTAATCCACTGTTTTTCTGTTTGTTCTCAGATTTTTGGGTTTTTGGTGACGGGCGTGTACGGAGTGAACTCGTACCTGGCAGTGCGTCGATGGCGTTTGGGTGAGCAGCGACCCCTGCAGGCCAGTGAGTACATCCGTGCCCGTACTGCCTCGCGAGGGGAGGTGGAGGCACGGCCCGAACTGCAGTAACACAAACTCCTGGACCACCGCAGACTGAGACTGAAAGTAACCCCCCGACTCTCACTCCTGGACCAGCAGCCTGTTTTCCACTGCAGGGCTGAACAGCACATTCATATACTCAGTTACGGTTTCTTTTTCCATCTGCTGCGCTGCTGCGTGAGGATGAAGAAGTACCTAAAAAATGTCAGGTCACCCAGATTTTCTAGCTAATGCTAATGCTAAAGCTCTCAAGGCTCGCTAGTAAAGGGGGTTGCTAGCTTGTCATGGCAAAGCCAATGAAATTCTATAGTGTTTATTTAAAATACTACCTGAATCCTACCATTTTGATAAAAAAGTAATGAATACATCCAAATTTGACCAGACATGAGCAAGATGAGCACAAGTCAAGTCAAGTCAGAGTTTATTTATGTAGCGCTTTTTACAACAGGTGTTGTCACAAAGCAGCTTTACAGAAAAATCCAGGTCTGAGCCCCCATGAGCGTCACCAGTGGAGACAGTGGAAAGGAAAAACTCCCTAAGAGCAAAGAGGAAGAAACACTGAGAGGAACCAAGACTCAGAAGGGGAACCCATCCTCCTCTGGTCGACACCGGAACGGGGAAAACAGGCGGAGCAATGCTTAATTAGATTAGTTTTAGTTTATGCAGCGGCAGCAGTTCCAGGGGAATGAGTGCTTTTTCAGTTATTTTTGCCTTAAAAACAACAGAACAATAGGAAAACGGATGGAAGTGTGATATTAAATTGGATGAACGTATCGATGCAAATTTTCTAAAAATCATTAAGCTGTTCCACTCGAACATAAACGCTAAAACAGCACAAAATCAGTTAATTAAAACAAGCTACTAGGGCTGTTCAGTTCAATAATAATAATTAATAAATAATATTTACCGTGCCTAAAATAAGTGCACTCAAGATCTGTCACCATTACAGCTCTCACGTCAGCCCTCCTCACTAACCGCCTGGTTTGACCGGCACTAGATAAATCTAGATTAAGATTTTAATTTGAAGCAAAACTCTGTCAGTTTAAGTCGTGCTATAGCTAAATAACATGGCTGACCAACAAGGGCTAAACGGTATCTGTCCACTACTAAGGTGTTTGAGCATTCGTGATGTTTGATTATACAATAATTTTTCTCTTACAATATTTCTATTTTAGTTTGCATTTATCAGAGAGGCTGTCTGACACAGTGACAGCGTAAGATCTTGCGAGCTGCTTTTTGCTCAGATGCAGAAGAAATCGGTTCCAAAGTTTTTGAGTCGACTACTCAAGTAAAAGTATAAATATTTTAGTAAAATAATGACTCAAGTAATCTTAAAGTATCTTCCCAATACACAACTTGAGTAACTTACAGAACTGCAGTGGAACTTCAGCGTCTATCAGCACAGAAACTGACGACTTCACAGCTCTTACTCTTCTCTTTTTGGGATTTTTTGATCTAAAAGTAAATGCTAAATCTCCAACGTCAGAGATGTGACCAATCACAAAGCAGTACAGACATCGTCAAATGAAACACAATGAAATTAAACGCAAAGGAAAAAAAGGAATCGTTAACCAAATATGAATGGCTGTAATGTAACTGAGTACACACTTGAAAAAGATGGTTCTTCAAAGGTTCTTTGTTATTCTGTTTAGAACCATGAGCTCCATATTGAACTATCTGCAAACCATTATGGTTCTATATACCACAAAAAGGGGTTCTGCTATAGTTACGATATCAAGCTTCCAACAATACAAGAACCATTTCTGAAGAATCATTTTACCATAATCTGCAGAACTATTTCACCATGCAGAGAACCATTTAAGCATGCGAATAGTTCTATATAGAACTCATGGTTCAAAACGGAAACCCTTGCCTTTACCAAAGAGGCCTTGAAGAACCATCTTTTTAAGTGTGTAGATTCCTTTACTCACTAATACAGTCGAGCAGAAGTTGATGTGTTATGATTTGAAAACACTCAGGAGAGAAAAAATCCTTCAGTATTTAGCTGAAGTGCATCTACAGCAGCTCACTGCACTCAGAACCGTTCAGCCCTGCAGTTGGAACGAGGACAGAGACTGTAAACACCACTCAGATCCCCTGGGTCGTCATTTCCCAGACCGACTGTGTGACTCTAACGACTGAGCAATTTTCCTCGGCTCATGCGGACACTTCCGGAGCGTCCAGTCGTATCTCTCCATCGCTGTGAACTGTGTCGCTGCTTGAAAGCGTGATGAGAATATACACACGTGCCTGCGAGGCTGGACCTAATGTGTGGACTCGAGTTCTCTTTCTCTTTATTTACAGTGACACACGGAACACATGAAGGATCTGGACCGGATTTACAGCCTGGTTGCATTAAACCAGATTTTATCTAAAGCCCTGCTGGAGCTGGATTAGTTTAACCTGGGGAGATTCTGTAATTTAAGTCATTAGCAGTGAGATTGGTGATTTTAGTCCAGCACAAATCTGTAATGTGCATCTGACAGTAATAACTGACCCCTCCAAGCTCCGCCCACTTCACAATACCTACATTTAGAGCCAGTTATTCATTCAACCTAATGAGAAACTGTAGAACAGACTCAGTTTATATCACAGTACCTACATTTAGAGTCAGTTTTTCATTCAGCCTAATGAGAAACTCAAAATATAGAAGTTATTCAAATTGAAATGCTGTAAAGTTTGTTCATAGATGCTATGCAATGCTGTGTAACTACACAGGATCTATCCTAACAGTGTGACCTTTCACTTATATTGAATATAAATATAATGTGAAATTTGTGGGCGGAGACTGTAGAGTGTTTGGTCTTCTGTTATTGGCTATAACCAGAGCTCCTTTAGTAATAGTAGTCCTGTTTAGGGCTGGGCAGTATGACAATATTTATCATTATTCTAATAAATTAAGTCACAATATGTCTCAGTATGCTTTCCTGAGCGTATTATGGATATCATCAGTAGTTAAAACCACTTCCTACCTGCATGTTTGATAACGAAGAGCATAATTAGGTTTTTAATTAAATGTTTAATTAGAGTTAGTGCAGCACAGTGTGCGAAATGGTGAATACAAAGTATTTTTAATGCAATACTATTTTGTCTGGTCCAACTTATCAAATGTCAGGAAAAATAATTATTGTATTTTATTGTGTGTCGCAAAAACTTCTTGAAGTATTGTGATATACATTTTTGCCATATTGCCCAGCTCTAGTCCTCTAGTTCCAGTCCGCCTCACGCTAATGGGATAACAAAACCTACTAATAGACAAGTTTGATTCCTGTGGCGTAACCCTGATATGAACATTCGGGCTATGACCTTTAAAATCTGGGCTATCTATGGAACTGTGGGGAAATGATCAGTCAAATCCTGATACATTACATTACACAATCTCCTCTGGGAACATCTGGCTTCGGGGCTTTGTGTGACAAAAAACAGTGTCACTATCTTTTTTTCTTTCTTTTTTAAGATGACGTTGGTCATACATTAATAATAATGTGTTATTTTCCGTTATTAATTGATTGAAGCGGTTTCAATGCACTAATTATCTGGTACTTTTTTCTTAGTGAATCTGAAGGAATCAGTTCAGAAGTAAACGATGGGCCGCTGAAAAAAAGAAAACAGCACAGACCAGCATGCTTTCCATGCTGGTTTATGCTGGTTTAGCTGACCACCCAGCATGGCCAATGCTAATCGTTCATTCCAAGCGACAGGTTTTTATCACTAGCCAGTTCTTTTTAGTGTATCAGATTCAGCAAATAACTGTATAAAAAGTGGACAGCGGCCAAAACAGTAACTTTGTTTTCCGCTAAGTGGCCCAGGCTGCTAATTAACATTAGCAAGCTAGCTAAAATGGCACTGGAACACCTTAAAGCGAAGAGGAGTTAGCTAGCTAGCTGGCTACATGACCTGGTAGCTGGTTCTCAAGCTAGCTAGCTAACTTTAAATCGCGCCTTGTAGTTAACAGAAATGTTCCAAAGCTGATATGTTTTTTGTTTTGATTTATTTCCCTGAATGTCACTGAATCCTGAGGTTATTAAGGAGTCATAATCAAAATGTTGGTACAGTGCAGGAGCGTCAGCTCTCTTCACAGCGTTATTCATATTCCGACTGCTTTATAACCTCGTAATTTAGGGTATTCAGTGACATTAGGTGATGATTTCAATTTGGTCAACATCGGGCTTCTTAATGGCAGAATGTTGTTCACTCATACAGACCAGTGAAGTGCATTAGCACTGATATCTGTTCCCCTGTCATTCGTTTTTCTGCTCTGTCTTCGTTCCCCTGAAAGAACGATGCCTGATCAGTATCAGTACCTGCAGAATGTAAGTTACATGTATAATATCCTCACTATACCAAATGTATCCTCAGCCATTAAAGCAATAGTTTGGCCAAAAATCATCCTCTTACCCCAAATGTAGTCGGTCAGCCAAGAGACGTTTGGTGTCAGTTTGCTTCTTTAGTTTTAGCGCTGGAGGCTAATGTAGCAAAAAAGCAGTGAAAGCTTACCAAAGCCAGTTTAATTAGGTTTTTAATTAAGGGGTCTGGCCACTTCTTATTTCCCCTGTCATATCAAAAACAGGACTGCAAAACAGCAGAGGGCGCCTGCGAGCAAGTCCTCAATGAATGGGGGTGAATGGAGCTAAACGGCTAAAACAAAAAGTTAAAATAGCTTCTAATCGCTCGCCCAGAACTTTCCTTTAATTTTAGAAAGTAGAAGGATGTATTTCACTGAAAAAGCAAGTAAAACTCACCTGTATGTTTCCGTTTTTCTACAACAAACTGGTTTTGGGCAGCAGGACACTAACATTACTGCTACTGAGTGCTGATTGGTTAACTTTACTGTGGTGCCGTTTTAAACTCCTATAACTCGAGTTTAAAAGCTCTTAAAAATGTAAAAGCAGTGTTAAAATGTTTTATGCTGTGTTCAGGAAACGAATGTATTAGTTTACATTAAAAATGTTTGAGCATGATTTTGCTCAAATGCTCCATATTAACCCATCATTTTGCACTCACTCAGGAGCGCCCTCTAGTGTTGGAGAAACCTGGAAGAATTACAGAGTGATAATTCTGCTCTCTACAAGTTCTCTGAGCTCCCCACCAGTTAGCACTGTGCTAACTGCATGCCTAAACAATCACACCTCAAACAGCATAGAAATTGGACTTAATAATGTCGTTTCTGACATTATATGACATTATTATCCATAAACATGGACTATAGTACATTAGCATAGCTTAAAAACAGTAGCAGCCTGAATTTTGCCTGTAAGGACATAAACACTAAACATGTCTTGGCCGGTTGACCACATTTGAGGTAATGAAGGAAACTGTACACTTGATTTTTTGCTAAACTATCCTTTAACTTCCTCACAGCTCTCTAGCTCTCAAACTGCAGGGGAGAGAAATTGTATATTATTTTAAAGCGTTGCTTAAACTCTAAAAAGAAATGGTTCTTAAAGGCCTCTTTAGTAAAGACCATGAGTTCTATATAGAACCATTTCATGCTTATAGGGTTCTCTGCATGGCAAAATGGCTCTTCAGATTGATGAAGAAGGTGCTGTATATGGTAGAAGCACCAAAAAGGGGTCTTTTATTGTATAGAAGTTTGACATTATAACAATAGAAGAACCTTTCTGGTGCTACATAGAACCATTTTCATCAGTCTGAAAAGCCATTTCTCCACGGAACTAATGGTTCTGAATAAAACCGTTGGTCATACATTAATAATAATGTGTTATTTTCCGTGATTAATTGATTGAAACAGTTTCAATGCACTAATTATCTGTACTTTTTTCTTAGAGAATCTGAAGGAATCAGACCGGCACGCTTTCCATGCTGGTTTATGCTGGTTTGTGCTGGTTTAGCTGACCACCCAGCATGGCCAATGCTAATCGTTCATTCCAAGCAGCAGGTTTTTCTTACTAGCCAGTTCTTTTTAGTGTATCAGATGCAGCAAATGACTGTATAAAAGAGTGGACAGCGGCCAAAACAGTAACAAGTAACATTCCCTTTACTACAGAACCCTTAAAGAACCATCTTTTTAAGAGCGATATGGTACTAATATGTGTATTTGCGTATATTTGATTGATTTCTAAGTTCTGCTCCTCCGTATCGCTCACCAGTTTGCCGGCTGTGTGTATATGTTGATCAGAAAAGGCAACGATGTTCAGAATAAGGTGTATATATACTTGTCGAAGTGTGATGTGAGACGTCCTTTGAGTGCCTGTATTGTTCGAATGTGCTCAAACTCCATCAGCAGACTGACCTTCGGTGGGTTTTTGCTGTGTGTGGATACAACAACATTGTGTTCTTGTCCACTGTGCCTTGGGCCGACCACAAGCTCACTGCTTAGAGTGATAGTTGGGCCAAATTTACACAAGTCCCCCCAGATATAGTCGATTTGGCACTGGAGCTACGAGGCTAAGCTAGCACCAACAATTAGCATGGTGCTAACTGCATGCTTATGTGGTTTCAGACTTAGCGTTTCAGATTAGCCTTTGGGGTAAAGGGGATAATTGTGTAAATTCAATATTTTTTCCCACCAACCTGTCGCTTTAAGATGAGCGGCTACACTACATGTCTAAAATATCTGCTTCACTAAAGCATTGCAGAATATTACTGAAATCTTAGAGGACCAAATTCATTGACTTACTGATCAGTGTTTATTTCATTCCTTAACTTGCGCTCACAATGTAGAAACATTCCTTATTTTATTCAGTTAATCATTTTTCTGTCTTAGCATTTCGACTTTTTATTTGTTGTATGTTATTTAACTGTCTCGTATTTAACACTATACTGGGTTGGAATAATACTGTGTGGTGAAGTTTCACCTGTTTCTCAGATTTTAAGTACGGATGTACGATATTTTGGCAGCCAATATTTGCCAATAAATGAGAAAACGTCATTTTTATCACTGCAATACTGGAATTACTGCCGATAATTACAACCGATAACTTCGCATGCCATTTTTGCTCATGCGCACGTTTATGTTTTTGTGTTTGAGGACAAGAGAAGTGCCTCTCGGTATCAATAGCATCATAAAATTAGTCATTTGAAAAGTCATTGTTTGAAGAATCTGTGGAGAACACGAGACAGCTAGAGTAGCTGCAGCTAGCATGTTTAGAGAGTGAAGTATCTGACATTAACAGCTAGCATCTTTAGAAAATATAAGGCAACTTAGCAGCTGTAACATCTTTAGAGAAAATGAATCAGCTACCATTAACATTAACGTTTTTGGAGAACATGAATCGGCTAACGTAGCTACCCCTAACATCGGCCGTCCCCCAGTATCGGCCACTTGTGTGTATTGCGCATTTCCTCTCTCTCTCTCCGCCAATTGCTCAGGCGAAATTCAGAACACATAAGCTTGCGCCTCACAAAGGCATCTAAACTTTATTCTGGCAAAAAATCATGTCTGAAAACAATATTTAAGTATCACTAATAACGCTGTAATTCTGCGTGTACAAAACCGCATGGAACACAACTCATTTTCATTTGGCGATGGATATTCGTCTGTGTAGAAAGTTAGCTTCTCGGTTAGCTTTCTCTGCTCTGAGGTAAAAAAAAGTTTGCCGCCATGGTAGTGTTACGTATATGGCGTAAGGGTGCCCACAGAGGACAAACTTAACCTCGTTGTAAACCATTGTAAAGCTGAATCTGGTAGGAATGATATGTAAACGTGATTTCTCATTTGACTGGCACAATCAGGCACGCAGCAAAGAGCTGTGCTACATACTTAGTTAAACAAGCAAATCAAGCTGAATAATGAAACAAAACAATAACATTTTACTAATGAATACATACATATATTTTATGTTTTTTACACTTTTATACGCTGAATTTTAGGCTGAAAGATGAGTTACGGAAAACCGGAAGTGAGGTGGCCGATGTTGGGGGACCGCCATCGTTCTAGCGATACTAGCATCAAAGTAAACAAAAATGTTATTATTGAAAAAACTGTTTTCTCATCATGTCAAATGACTCTTGGACATTAATCTACACGCGTATCTCTCCCGAAAAACATTGATTGGGGCGAGTAAAGTGCTTTCATTTATTTACAGTTAGCTTATATTCCCGATGTTTTGTTTTGAGGTGGCCGATAACAGGGGTACCTACGCTACCAT